CGCTCTTTCCCACTGTGTTAAGCTTTCCCTGTAAAAATAGACTCCTACTGAAACAGCTAAGTTTAGACCTTAACTACAGATGGCATACAGGTTGCATCTCGGTGGCAGGAGACAGAAGAAATATTACAACCACCAGGCGCCAGGGTGCCGTGCCACCCCCGTCAGCAGGGCGAGGCTCACCGGGTGTGACCCCCGGGCTCCAGTCCTGCCAGTGGTCCTCCCTCCCGCTGGTCCCCCCGCCTGGCACATGCGGTCGCCTCGGCCCCAGCAGCTAACTCCTCCTCGGCTGCACTTCTCTGCGTAAACAGTACTCCCTGAGAAACAGGCTCCCGACCTCCAGGCTAGTAAGGCTCTCTACTACTCGGACCCCGGGCCCCTCTCCCCACCATGCTTCTCCTCTGCCCTTAGCACACACACAGTTGCTTGTTCAGACTCTCTCTTTCCTGCTGGATCGTGAGCCCTGTGAGGACCCGGCGTGCGTATTCCACTGTCCCCATGCCTCGCACAGAGTATGGAGTTCATCCAGCTAACTCCCCACTAATTTCTCAAACTGCAGAGGCCTGTCTGGCCAGGAGCCCAGGAATAATTACAGGTCTCCAAAGGCGCCGGCCAGTTCCCGCCATCACAGCTCCAGCCCCCATACCCAACCTCCCTCCTCCCTGGTCTCCAGGAAGAGTGTGTTTCAAATCCCAGGGACCCAGGAGAAATCTTTGACCCCAAGGGTAGAGTTTTCTTCCTCTGACTCCCCTTTTTCTTTTCTTTCCTTTCCTTTTTTAAGAAGCCTCCTGGTCACTGGGAGTTCTGTTTGCCTTGGTCCCCCGCAGTCAGGAGGCCCTGCCCGCCCGGGAGCAGCCTCTTCCAGGGCAGGGCTAGGGCAGTTCCACACACCAGAGCAGGTGCTGTGTGGACGGAGACACTGGAGACTGGCATTTCTTCTTTCTTTTTTCTCTTTTTTTTGTTTTTTTTTTTTGTTTTGTTGGCCACGCTGTGCAGTTGGCGGGATCTGAGTTCCCCGCCCAGGGATTGAACCCGGGCCCTCAGCAGTGAGAGCACCAAGTCCTAATTGGACCACCAGGAATTCCCTGGCTTTTCTTTTTTATACTTTTCAGTGTTTTCCAGACCCTCTTCATTGAACATGTACTAGGTTTATAATTAATGAGAAACAAATAAGCATCAGTTAAAGAAGGAAAACACCCCAAATGTGGAGTCAGATGTGGCTCAGGGGGGGGCTCTGCCACAGGCCAGTTATGTCACTGCTCTAAGGATGTGTTCCATGGCATGAAAACACAGCCCCCAGGCGCTGGGCCGGCAGCCTCGGGGCAGGGGTGTGGGCGCAGAGCCCCGTGGGCCGGGAACGAGGATTCTTGTTAACTGTTTTTGAAATAATAATAGGATGACGCAAAACAACTTACTGATTTTTTTCAGTTACTCTAACTTCACCCATAATGGCTTTCATTCCTGCCTGTTTCCTCTGGGCCCTGGTCCCCATGCATATGTGTTGATTTATATAATTTCATTTATTCCACTCTCTCTTTAAACCAGAGCCCTCAGGAGACTTGTCCTGAGACCCACGCCTAGCACATTCTTTTGCCCCTGGACCAGCAACTCCCGGGTTCATTCAGTCACCGCACAGATACAGGGTGGGGGGTTCCTGATAGGTCTGATAGGTGCCAGGTCTGCTCTCGGCGCGGGGACCAGGCGTGAGCAGTCTTGGTCCTGGCTCTCACAGGCTCGCATTAGATGGAGCGGGCGTGGTGGGTCCTGATTGGGGCACTGAGCCTAGAGTCCTGGCCCTGGAGGTGGCCGTGAGCATCCGAGAGCCCTCACCCCAAGGCTAGGATGGACCAGATGGGAAGCAGAGTTGACGTGGACAGTGGCAGAGGCGATTCTTGGCTTTGGTCAGCATTATGCTAGTTCCGTCTCGTCAGGTCGGCTGGCTGTCTCTGGTCAAAAGCTCCAGGTAGGGCGTCCCTGGTGGCTCAGTGGTTGAGAGCCCGCCTGCCGATGCAGGGGACACGGG